TTCTAAAGATTGAGGTATGGATCTCAAGTCTTTCAGTCCAAAATTATGATCAATGCTAGATCTGCAAATGCAACAATGAATTTATTGAAGAAATAAAATGAAACAAAAATTGTGCCAAGTATTTTAAAAATCCCTTGAAGTATGAAGAAGTTATAGATCGGACACAAAATATACCCTATAACAGAGTATGTTAATTTTTTACCACCAAGTGTGACCTTGACCTTGGAGGTAGGGATGCATTTTTTGCGCATGACACATTGTCTTATAATAGTGACTATTTGTGCCAAGTATTTTCAAATCCATTGATCTATGGAGTTAGGTGACCGAATGTTGCCCATGACTTATTGTCTCATTATTTATGTATTTACAAAATCCCTTCAAAGATAAGAAAGTTATGGACCGGATACGACATATACCCTCAAATAGACAATATTGACCTTGAATGAGCAAGTGCGACCTTGACCCTGGAGATAGGGGTCTGGTTGTTGAGCATGACACATCGTCTTATTGTAACAAACATTTGTGCCAAGTTATTTTTTTCATTACTTTGATAAATGACAAAATTGGACCGGACACGAAAGTGTGACGGACGGACGGAAAGACAGACGGAACCTGTTTCTATATCCCCCTTTTTTCTTCGAAAATGTGGGGGACAATAACAGAAAATGATCAGATATTTATGATAAAACATCTGATTTGTTGATTTTAAATAAGAAGTCTTCGCAAACTGCCGCATTCCGTCGATACGTATCGACGGACAGCGGCAGTTTGCTATGCGAAAAAAATATATGGCATATTGCCGCATACATCCATCAGCACTAAGCCATACTGAAAACAAAACATAGCATACTGCCGCATATAGAATACTGCGTCGCGACAGTGCTGTACATCAAATATTTGTCTTGAAATGTACTGGATCTGGCTTAAAAGGCAAATTCCAACAACACAAATTTGGTTTTATCAAACGTGCACTATTATACAATAATATTAAGAATTAACTGACATTCACTGATATATCTCATTCTAATATAATGATAAATATCAGTTAATGCCAAATATGTAATAGAAAGAGCATCGAAACACGAGGCGTAGCCCCCGAGTATTAATCAGATCGCCGAGTGTTTTGATGTTCTTTCTCTTTTGTATCATAGTCAAACACGTTCCATGTTTCACAATACGAAACCCCAGAAAAAAAGGAACCAATGAACGGGCATCTGAATATGATATTTCTGTCACTTTCCCTCTCTCTGCCGTCACAAAAGTAAACCCCAGCAAAAATGAACCAATCAATGGACATGCTCTGGAGTACGGGTAACTAATACCTGCACTCAAGTTAACGCACTGTGCATGTATATGTATACGATTTAACTCTGACAATTTTCAACAGAAATGTCCCCAAACTATGATACAAGTAAAAGAAAGGGAATTTAAACACGAGGCTATCTGATTTATAGGGGGCGTGTTATTTATGGAAGAATTAAGGTTTCTAACTAGTAAACTAGAATAACCACATATAACAAATTTGACTTGTAAAAACTGTTATACTAGTAAAATTTGTCATTTGAATGTACATTTGAGATAAATGAATTTCATTTTTCATCGTTGATTAATGAAAAAGTAACAATAAAATGTTTTATCTAATATAATAAAGCGCGTATGTCTTTCATTCTGTACAGAGTAGTCACGAACCGAACATTCTATAAAGTTGAGGGTTATACGGAAGGTCATTGTGTGTAATTAAAGTACGTTTACGGGATATCGCAAACAGAACTTTCCTTTAAATCTGGTATTTATACTTGCATTGAAACAAAGCAATAATCAATTTTGAAAGTGTTAAAGCCTTTATGTTGCTTTTTTCAATTATATTTCCCTTCTTTTCATCACAAAGAATAATTAAATGAAAATATAATCTGAGAGATTAAACAACAGTTACATGTTAACGCTTAGTTTTTGTCACAAAATAAATGCCCTTGGTCACGTTGATCAATTATGAATAATAGAAGGCTGCTTCGAATAAAATAAATAGCAGTCTCTACTCTTCAGTAATCTTGTTAGCGCGTATTTTTGTCATAATATTTGAAAATAATATGCTCAGTAAAATATATTTGTTTAACTAAAATGTAATAGGTTTAATCTTTGTAATGTAGCATATATTGTACAGGAATTAAAATTGATTCAGACGTTTATTGTTTCGGAATTAGAGGCTTTCATATATTTAATAATCAGCTCATTTTTGGCCGCAAAAAAATAATAAAATTACGTGCACTAGGTGCGGTATCTTTCATTGCAAAAAGATTTACAAACATTAAAACATTATAACGGCGAAAGTTTTGCGGACAGAAGTTATTGATTTATTCAGTCATTTATTGTGAAACCTTAAAGCATTATTGGAAATAATTCCAAATGATTATTTCTTAACCCCCCCCCCCCCCAATCTAAAAATTGCGTTGACCGCGGCAATCTCTCCGTTAAAGTCTTTAAGATTAGGGCAAATACAGCATTGAAGTTAATTGGTTTGGAAATTAAGCTTTGTTATGTCCGTTTAGTCAGAAATTGTCAGAAATTTAAAATATAATTGAAAAGATTGCAGGCTTAGTTTAAACGGGCCTGTTCAGGGACCTTGAATGTATGTACAGTAAACACACCTAGAGAGATGTATTTGAAAAATGAAACTAGATAAATTATGACTTTGTAACTACGTTATATGTGTGTATATGGCACTGGTCGTAAATCACAAGTCATTTCAATTATGCGTTATCTCCAAAGGGTGAACAAAAATGAGTGGAATTAAATAAAAAGATATTTTGAGAGGTGATCAGACGTGATCACAGTTCCATGCCTGCTTTTAAAAAAATCGAGTAAGGGATTTTGATACACATTTTAAAAAGCATTTATTACAGTGAAATCAAAGTGAAATCTATCACATCGATTAAATTAACTAATAGATTAATTCAAAAAAGTCAACGCATTGTTTAAATATTTGTACCGCACATTTTCCATTTGATGTTATATACGATTTTTCGACGTGTCATTATTTTACAGCTTTTTGTGTACTCAGTTCAGAAACAGTTCTGGAAGTAATAAAGACTTACTATCTATTGAACAAAGTTTATCGACGTTGGGGCGGGGGGCGGGTTATCCCTCCTTATCAAGGAGCTTGCTGTTTATAATTCACATACTAGTCAGAGCTATGAGGGAAATATTAAGTTGTCAAATGGGTTGTTGTCATTTTGTATTATGCAATGAGAGAAGGAGAAGGGTATGCAGACATAATTTTACCTAACAACTAAAATGATATCATTAGGTGCATTACAACATGGCCATGTCTTTCAAGGCTGCCATGTACGATCAGGTTAAAGTTATGCACAATTTGTTTATCAGCAGTACAAATATTCCATGTTTGGCTTTGAAAGCGGTTATATAAAAAACAACATATATCAATCGAACTGTCTACAGTTTTCTAGAAACGAGATTCCTTTGAAAGTATTTAGTAGTGTGGTATGGAATGTTATCTCAAGCTATAATCGATAATTGTTTAAAATGATTCAGAAAAGACTACTGCATTCAATATTTAATTACTTCATCAATTGTAATGAATTATAACGGAAGTGGCGTGGAAAACTAATCACTGCGATTCTGTGGCAATCATGTTATATTGTGCTCTACGCTCGTATTTCCCTTAACAAGAGACAATAATGTATTGTTAGCGAACTCAAAATGCTTTCATTAACAGTGGTGTAGCGTTATAAATTATACGGTTTATACAAGATGAAGTTGAATTATAGCATGACTACTCTGTTAAGGGCTTCTGAAGCTGCACTAAAAGGAATACTTTTATTAAGGGCCTTTAGAGAATACAGTTTGCAAGAATCTACTCTTCGTGAAAGAAAAAAAGATTGGTTCCTGTTAATGTTTCTTTTGCTTTCAAATACATTGTAAGTAGTTTCTTCTTACAGAGGAAACAAAATCTTGGAGTATATTTCATGCATACTAGTATAATGTTATGAATATGCCCTAAATAAAGTACATAAAAAGGACCATGTTCTTCACCTTGGTAAACCTGCCAGATTTAGTGATTGTTGGTTCAGAAATGAGACAACAATCACAGAAACATTCATTCTTTAGAGTTAAGTTTGCATCAAAAAGCCATTATTGATAAATTTGACCCTGAGCTTCGGACAATTCTAAATGATAATAATTTACTTCACAAACCTAGGCATATCTTCAACATACAAGATGAACCGGAATTTCTACAAAATAATAACCTCTTTAAATTGTATATTATACAAACAAGCTTAACAATCACAGTTTATGGTTAAACACGTTATTTCATTTTTAATTTGTTCCTACATGGACACATTACTTTCCTTCGGAAATAAGAAATGTATTATATGTTTGTTTTTTTATTCTCAGAAATAAGTTATATCTATGTGGTACTAGTATCTTCAGTTATAAGTTATATCTATGTGTTATTTTAAGAAATTAGTTAAATCAATGTGTTATCTTCAGAAATAAGTTATATCGGTGTTTTATCATTAGCAGGTTGTAATATCAATGTCATATCTTAAGTTAAAAGTTATATATTTAAGTCTCGAAAGTAAATTAAAAACATAAAGAAGCTCTGTAAAAAAGGTGTTATTTCCCTACAGCCACCAAACATGGTTGAAACTCTTAACGTTCCAAAACATATTGATATCTAGAGGATGGAAACAAAATTTGGTTATCGTAATTTGATTGATCATAGTTACATTGTGACATATCCCAGTACGGGCGTAAAGTTATTATTGGCCTTATTATTTCTCGTCTTTAAGAACTATACTGTTCATTACAACATAGGTCTTATTTCCCATATTCGCAGAATAAATGCTTAGAATAATACGTCATGCGATCAATAATATCTCTCTGCAAAATTTAATTACATTTAAAAAATTACTGTATGTGTTTAAATATTAAACAGCCGCACATATTAAAGTTAAATAACTAGACAGGTTCACATTTCATTCAGAAGGCAACACGTCTGTCTGATTAAAGGCTGTGAAAGTTTTTGTTTAATTTGACTTTGGACAATTTAAAACCTTTTGTAATCATATTTAAATAATTTAGCTTTTTAGAAAGATATTGGAGACATTTGATTTGTGTTTCTGTTGTTGGTTTTGTAATATTTGATATCTTAGTATATTCAAAATGAATAGTTGGTGTTCTCTCCATATGTTGATCATTCTTGCTATGCCGATGATATCCTACGCTTTGGAAAACGTTAAATTTCATACAATGTTGCAAGGTAAAACATTAAACGTCATTCCAGGGATAAGTTTTAACGACTGTTGGTCAAATTGTGAACAAAGGCCGGAATGCGGATCCATAAATTACGAGCAGAGACCACACGTCTGCCATCTTAACTATGTCGATCAGTCTGGTGACATGGTAGTGCGAGCTGGGGTTTTGTTCCGTAAAAAAGGTGCTCAACCGGTAAGTATCTACCTGTGTGTATGTGTGTTTGCGTGTATGTGTGCATGTAATTTTAAATTGATAATGACAAAAATTCAGGTCAAATATTCCTTATCTTGGTCATAAATGCCGATACTTTAGACGGACACGACTTGGTTTTCGTTTGTTCTTGCTGTATTTCAAAAGAAAATATAAATGCCATGAAAGTGTCTTGTACTTCTATTCAAAAAACTATACAAGGCCATGTTAACAAGTGACGAAACAGCGCCTGGTATGTTCTGAAAAAAGAAACATGTCTCATATCAAGATACTCTTTCAAGAAATTTCGATAAACGTACAAGAAATAAGAAGAAAGAAAATTTAAGTTTGTTTGTTTGTTTGTTTTTTAGGGGAAGGGGTTGAGGGCAAACTGATTGTTCAGGTTAACAACAACAAACCTGAATAGAAAACCTTTGAATGGTATCGCAGTCATATGGACCAATATCCTAGTTATTTCCCAAACAATACAAATTTATTTTTGTTGCAATTTTTTTTTTTTTTTTTTTGGGGGGGGGAATACTTCAAAATGCGAGTTTGAAAAAATATAGAGTATAAAGCAATTTTTGCTTGCACATAATCACCGCGAAACGGTTTAAACCCTACTAAAATAGCAGCATGATATTTTGTTCCGTTTTTTTTAAATCATAATGTTTATCAAATAATAGAGACATTTAGATCTCTACTGTTACAACTCTTTCAAGCATCGTGTTATACAATGTACTTATAATTGTATTTGATTTACCCGTAGCTCCTTCCATTACATGTCACATTGCTCGAGTAAGATTGCAAGAAAACATGAACAAGTTTAATGATAAATCAAAAAGATTCTTCAACATTTTAAGTTTGGCATGTTTTGTGATGTTTCAGAATAACATTCTTACTTTGTGAAATTGGAACCAAAAAAAAACAGTCTTGAAAATTTCTCGTTTATTCTTTTAATATTTTTATAGAGTTTAAAAACAAATCTGCTTCCTGCAAGATTTAAATCCGCCGAATAGAATGAATTCATTTTCTATAACCTACGTTACCTGTTTTGTAGTTGTTGATAGTTACATATCTCCGTTACCTTATTTGACTCGTATTTATAGCGTTCGACTCACTAAGGACATACAATTGATACAATTCGAATAAAAATAAATATTCACATTTTTAGAGTTCAAGGAGAGTATCATACTTCAAGGCGGTATTACAAAACTAAACAAGAAGTATCTTTGGAAAAGATACTCGGTCGAAGTAAACCTATTTGAATATGTTGTTTCCAAGTTTTCAATTCATATTAATTTATTTGAAATAATATACAATGTGGTTATTTATCTTGAAAAAATGAAACAGTGAAATGTATGCGTTCCTAGATGAATATGTCGTGTTTTGGTAAGTGGACTCAATTTCTAACACACCAACATCTACCCTTTCAGTGGGCCTGTATATTTATAAATTATACTTAATCAATATGCAAAAATGTATGCAAAATATAAACATTTTACCAATTAAATACATCAGTGATCATATGATATATTGGACACTTTATGAACATAATAAACTGAGAGTACATGATAGGTCCTAGGGTGTGTGGACGGTAACTTGCACTTTCCAGTACCGTCCCATGAACAGGCTCAATCACACCGAGCTTGCAAGATTTTCAATTTTGCCGTTTTCAGCTTTCTTTCGGGATTTTTTTCTCTATTTTATGGTCACATCAGTGTTATTTGTGCCGTATTGCGGTCGTAGAAAGTCTCCCCGTACATTTTATCAAATATGTTATATTTTTTATCCTTTTAGATCGTTCAGCACGAAAGCACGACATAATTGTTGTAAATACATGTTATGTGGTATTTTAAGTTTCTTCTATTTGTTTAATAACTATCCCGTGCATTTTATTTTATATTGTAAAGAACTACCCTTTTACGTTCTATTTTAGAACGAACTATCCTTAAACAATTTTATTTAGAATGGCAAGAACAATCCTTGACATTTTTTTTTGAATGGCCAATAAATTACCAACTTAAATTTGTAATTTAAAAATGACGCATGAAAATTCTTTAAATATATTCTGTTCTTCCATGCAAATTATACAGGAAGTAAAGCTGATTTTAGATTAGATTAGAAATAATCATGCTGTTTGAAGTACTACACTTTTATAATGGTGCACATTTGTTTCTCTATTTTTTTGCAGACAAATGTGGCGTGTGAAGAAAAGACGTGTCCCAAGGGAGCGGTTTGTGATATCATATCGAAAACATGCAAAGTTGCAGGTAATGTTAGACTCTGTAACGAATGAATGTCTATCAATTATATAAGAATATTGAATTTTTAAAATGTGAATTATCCGTCTTTAAAGATAGTATTAACATCAATATAATTACTTCAGTACTTCAGTTCCCACTAAAAATTCATAATTTTCATGAATACTTAAGTATGTGGTAATCTGCGCGGCCAATTGGTAAACGTGTCGAACTAGTGCTTAAAGGATTGCTGGCTGCGTTGGTTCAAACCCCGTCAGAAGCAATGAGTTGTTTCCTTATGCAAGAAAGTGCACTCGTTGCTTAGTACTTGTTGGTTTCAGAAACGGATTCGAGTGTGTTCAATAATCGTATAGCGACTGACAAATCGAACTAAAATAAATTCGTATAAACTGAATACTTTAGTAGATCTAGCGCATTAATTTAGTAATTTATGTATTGTTGATTTGTTGTGAAAAAAATGACAAGACGTCCAGACGATATTGACGCTTGTTTTGGTCCAAAATCGAAAAAAAACCAAGGGGGGGGGGGGAATGCCAAGTTATAAAAGCTTATGGCGGCTGTTTAAAACTAAAATGTATTTGGATGTCGAGATTTAAATTGTTATTTGAAAGTATCAAATAATTTATCTCTTTCAAGATCAGAAATTTTCACGAAGGATTAAATCTCAATAATTTTTCAAATTGAATATTTTCGTCAAAATAAATTCTCCCCATCATAAAAATGCTCGCTAAGAATTTGTCATATAAATTAAAATGTTCGTTTACCTCAGATATTGCTATTATTTGTAAAGCTCAAACCGTTTAATTTTTGTGTCCTGTTACAATTTAAAGACACTCACTAGCTTTATAACTGAACCATCTTTTTCTTCTTGTACGTAATGCGTTAGACTGATTAAGTATTTTGTATGGACGTCAAAATACCACTTTGTTTACATTTTGCCATTTTATGGAACATTCTTTTGCATTCCGCGCTACTTTATTCCAGTGTAAACTATCTAATTTGCTTTTCGCTGATTTGACAACATTATGAAACACATGTTTACCCCGTCACGAGTAGCAAAAATCTTGTTTATGTTTGAGGGGTGTATTACAAATACAAAAATAGAAAAAAACCCTTATTGTTTAAAAAAGATTTTCTAATACTATTTACATATAAATTTAATGAGACAATGTTTATGTCTTATAATAAAAGAGTTGATATGAATAATGATGAGGCAATTTTATAAATGTTCATGAACATTTCTTTAGAATGTAGACCTCTGCAAATACTAGATGGGGTTGATGTATTTGGAAACATGGTATCAGTTGGGAGCAAAAAAATGATAAGATGTCGTGAGGGTTTTATACCTAAAAAAGAACATGATTCTTCTATGATAGCTACTTGTGAAGAAGACGGTTGGAAAAACGAACAACTAGAATGTGTGCCTTGTAAGTAGTGCAGTAGTTAAATGAATTTATATATATATTTTGAAAAATTAAAGCTGTTTAGTATGTTATCTATGTAGTTTTATTGTTTTTATTCTTTCTCTAAGTGGCATTCTTAAACAGTCTTTTGGTTATTCTTACAACCTGACAAAGCTTTATACATTTAAATGCTGTGTTATTCTCATTTTGAGTGCGTATAATGCCATTCGAATGAAAATCTTTTGTTGCGATGATGATATTCTGTTACATGTAAAGTCATGCTTTAACCAGGCATTTTTAACAATGTTCCGTGATTAACAGATTCAATTCATATGAACAATAGATGTTTTAAACAGAAAAAAAATCCATGGTTTAAAATATTCATCAAATTCGTTGTATATTGAATTTATCACAAATGTTGTCGAGGAAAATAATAATAATGATAAATTGTACTCATAGGTGCTTAATAATTAATGTGTAATGTTCGGTAATGTGATGACACAAGTATAACCACTGCTGCATTAAATACTGAATATAATTATCGTATCAATTATTACATAATCTAATATAGTTAGTTATATATATTGTTGTTGATGTTTGTTTGTTTGGTTTTTTTTTGTTGTTTTTGTTGTTTTTTTACATGTGTACCATTCAGTTAAAACAATACGCAAATAACGGAAAATACAGTAAACTTCACATATAGCGAACACGGTTATAGCGAACTTCCGGTTATAAGGAACAAACTTTGTTGGCCCGAATTTTGCCCTTCTTTATTTAATGTAAAAAATTACGGTTACAGCGAACACGGTTATAAGGAATTATCGCTTATAAGGAACTCATTTTTTAGTCCCAATGCCATAAAAAGTACAGAAAATTACACTTTTATAACGAACTTCAAAATATCAGCTATCCGTAAACAGATCATGCATTTTCTACTTTCGTTCTCATCGGCACAGATTAAAACTTGGCCGAATGTAAAGGATATATAAGGAACAATAATGACGATGACAGTCAATCTTCCGAAGACGAGATCTGTTTAAACGATCTGTGTCAAAAAATGAAGGTATTGATTATTTGCACAAGATTAGGTCATACATGTACTTCGAGTCTAATGCACATGTTGAAGAAACATTTTTTTCAAAAGTTTATTGGATATTGAATTTAACCTGAAGAGGTGAAAACATTTCCAAACTAAAATTAGCGACTTTTGTGCATGATACTGTATCGTTAATAAATAACAACATTGCATATATGGTACATATCATATCATTATCTTATAGATATATTTATACATAAAAATTATATTAAAAAGAAACAACATTGCAATTATTTCTTTATTTCTTTATTGAATCAATATAAGGGAGACAACAATGACGAACCCAAGAGTTATTTCTCTTAATCAAATGCTCTTCTAAATGGAGGACGATGGTAAACAATAAGTTCGTTATATGTAAAACTGTTCGTTATAAAAACTTCTGATACAAGGAACTAATTCGCTGTATGCTTACAAGGAACTCCGGATATAAAGAACAGATTTTGAATGTCCCAATGAGTTCGTTATAAGCGGAGTTTACTGTATTACGAAGCAGAGAATACTTATTGTATCACTTTTAAATCTAATAGGCTTTCTATGCTAGTTTTAATTAATCTATTTTATGATTAATTAAAAAATTAATTAATCTCTTGTTACACCCCTTACATGTTCCGCCATTTATGACATTTCCTGTCTTATCTTGGTTTGCTTTAACGATGGTCTTGCATGACTAGATGTTCCCGATGGCAGTTAACGTCATCCTGCCTTGTTAAAATCTTATATCATAGTGAAAAAAATATTCAATTGTTATTTTGTCAAATGATTTACACTGTTTTACCGGCTATATTCAGTTCTTCACTGTATCCTTATCAATCATACTTTTGTTTCTGCATAATGTACACATATTTGTCATTGATGTTACACCATAGATATCTCATTTTGTGTATTTTAATGTTACTCATTTCATTAAAAAAGCTTATAATAAACATTCTTGTCTGCTAGTCCGGTGTATAGATATGTTAGGTTTGATATGACAATACAAGTTAATATTTCAATTTCCTAGGCTAAAAAGTCCATCGGGACAAACATAGCATAATATAATGACAGACAGTGACATGTAACAAAATATTCTATTGAGACATGTATTTTTTTATTGGGTTTTACGTCACACCGACACAGTATAGGTCATTTGGCGACGTTCAAGCTTTACTGGTGGAGGAAGACCTCAGGTGCCCTTCCGTGCATTATTTCAGGCACCTGAGTAGAACCACCGACGTTCCGTAAGCTAGCTGGATAGTTTTCTCACATGAAAGAATCCAAAGTCCCTGTCGGGATTCAAACCCACAGCGGTGAGGGGCAAGTGGTTTGAAGTCAACGACCTTAACCACTCGGCCACGGACGCCCCAAGACATGTATGTATATTAAAATGAAGGGAGAAGGTCGCGTGGCATAATTGTTAGTAACTACATTGCATAGAAACAAGCAACATTATACATTAAAGAGAAGTGTCATATACTGTCTGTTGTAATAGAAAGGCACAATATGACATATACTTTGTAGAATAATTTATTTCTGCCTATCACTAGCCTATATCGAAACTAAAAATAAAGGTCAATCAAACGCAATCATGATAATATAACTGGCATAAAATTACAATACCACAATATTATCAATAAAAATCAACATCATAATAATAGTAAAAAAAAAAAACAAATCGAGATACGGATAGCTAAATGAAGGATGGTGCTTCCCATATATTTTTGTGATGTTAATTTATCTTAACATATCTAGATACTATTAACCAACAAAGCATGTTCAATATTTATTTATAGCAAATCTGTATGCGTTACAAATGCATCAAAGATTTTTTTCTTAGCTTTCTAATCAAATTTTGGCTTTCTTAATAATTTGATAAGTTTCAGAACTTATAATTATATATTATGTCTTCTCTAGCACTTTGAGGGTAGGTAGTTTTGTTTAAACCCATTGTACGTATCACATTCTACAACGTTAACAAAATGGTATTCGTCCTCTAGGACAGTACAAAAATGACACAAAATCTTGCTCTTACATGACCAGTTTCCACAAGTAATCTATGGAATGATACTCCTAATCTTATAATTTCGTGACCGATTTTCTTATTTGTAAAATAATCTCAACAAGATTGAAATCTAAATTGAAATATTTGTATAAAACAGAGTTATACACCATAGTTCTGTACAAACATGATCATGTTACTTTTGGTTACCTTTGATAACAATGTATCTGTTTTTTGTTGTTTTGTTGTGTGTGTGTGTGTTTTATTTATTTTTTCAACACTTTGTTGAAGCCAATTTCATAAAAACCAAGAGAATACATTACATGTACATTGGTTTATTTGGTCATTAAAAAGTATTTTGTATACCAGAGAAACATATTTATTACCATAAAAGTGTTGTTGTTTTATCAAATATTATAAAGATTTAAAGTTTAAAGATATTTACAAAGTGATTTATACGGGTATTTTAATGTAGAAACCTTATTTATAGCATTTGAAAGAATGCCGGACTGTCTGCCTAGTAATCAGCGTAACATTTTTTTATTTAACTCACTGCAGGGTTGGAGTGGTACTTCCAAACGTTGCAGATAGTATGGCCACAAGCAAATAAATGTCGCATTTTTCAGCGATACTTAAGTTTTCATTCATATTCATTCATATTCATATAAAACGGTGACGTCATTTAAGCGCCTTGTCCGATATATACCATAATACGGGGTTTAATTTGTGCTCAAACACTTTTTTTTAAATGTCACTCATTTTATTTTCTAATTATGTTTAAGATTATTATTTCAAATAATTGAGCAATCATACTAAAATGATCATTTTTCTTTTTTTTCAACGTTCGTATAATATAGTTTTCACGATATGTTATCAATCTTCAGTTTTTTTAGTAGTTGTTTTTCCAGAACAGCAAACTCCCATAGCACCTAATATAAGTAAGAGATACATAACTATTTAATTAATCAATTTATAAATTTAACATTTGATGCCTGAAATGTATCACAGTCTAGAATGCAAGACACGTTGTTCTCAGAGATAAACGTGTTAAGTGCGCTGTGGTGGACTTCTAATTTATTTTTACTCTCTGATATAAGAAATTCATTTTTAAGCTGATTTCTAATATAAATCAATAGACATGGTGTTTGTTGTGCTTTTACTCAAATCTGCAGTCACACGAATATGATGCACCTTTTGATAATTCTTCTACATTTTATATCCATTTTAGTGACATGTCAGGGCCTTGCTGATATCGGCCATACAGAGTCACAGACGTACATCAGTTTCAACAAGGGGGCCAAACAACTTGTAAAGATATTCTGTGAGTTTATCAGTGAAGAAAAACGCGGGTACACTTTTATTTTCCCAGACTCCTTAACCTCAACCGTCAAGATTAATGAATACTTAAACCGAAACGACCATGTGATGCTACGTTTCATTATGGCTGAAAAACAACATGAATCGAAAATTAAATTTCTTTCGAATTATCGAGATACATATAATATTTCATTTTTTAATAGTGAAAATCCAGATTTTTCAGGCCCTTCAGATAATGTCACAAAGCCGTATCTGTTTTTTGGGTTTATTCCAATAAGCATTGGATATCATGAGAATCTTACGAAAGGATACACATGCAATGAACAAGACTATGATTTTGTCAATTGTGATAATAACACGAACAATTATTTTGCTATTTACCAATCGAAAAATGCGCAACAACGTTGTTACGAAGAAGACCAAAAAAACATTAGAGACGGATGGAAAATTTGCGCTGTAAAATCATCTAGACATATACCTAAGGATGTTTTCTTCAACTCTTACGAGATCGGCATGGGGGGATGTGGTTGCATTCAACGTAACTGTGAGGATGATATTCATCATTTTGCTCTTGGACTCCCTTTTGAATACTGACCATGTGTCTGATTCCTGATAATTTAACTCTACATCATATTAAAAAGAAGAGACACAAGATGATAGAAACATTTATTTTTTTTTATTTCAATTTTGTGACAAATAACAATAATTTTAAAAGCATATATCGGCAAGTAGCGAAATATACTTCCTGGATGCGCCGTCAGGGCTGTCGAACACACTATTGTGTGGCTTTCGTGACCGCCTTCGAGAACGAGGATTTAAAACAGTTATATAAGCAGTATTATAAACTTATGATAAAAACTGTAAATTAATTGCAAAAATAGTATAGCTTTTTAGAAATGCATACATGTTAAAAGTAGGCGAACAATGATGCATCAGTATATTGTTACTCATTTGGAAATTTCATTTTGCCTTTCTTATCTCAGATTGAATAAAACACGATTATCATGTTGATCGCCTGCCTCTCACGTATACAGTGTTTTAGGACAACTTACAAAACATTTACGAAAATCGCACATTCGTATTCAAATAAAAATGACATAATACATATTTAGTGATATATTAATCATTACAACAGATGATTAATGAATTTTATAATCACAATTTCTTATACATCTAAAATGATCCATTCCAATACATATTAATTGAGGAAATGCATGTCAAAATAATTGAGTACCAAATCGTTTTAAATCCCTTCTTATACGCGGATAGTCCGAATCGCGAGGGTTGAAGCGTTCTAAGATAACATATATGACTTTAATAAGTTAAATAGAGATCGCATGAAAATTATAAAAAATATATGTCTGATTCTAATATGTGTGAGAAAAGTCATCAAACTATGTCGCCTTCACACAAATCACGCGATGTTGGTCTTATCACTTGATTGTGTCAAGCGAATACTCCAAAGAAATAGTTGAACAATTGTTTCTTTTGTAATAAACGGCGACATAATCACTTAAGCTGTCTGCTGTCAAGTCTGTCGGTATGATTGAAAAAAGTTTCATTTTTGTTGTAGAATCGAAATTATTAATTACTTTAATGATTTCTCTTTCGAAAGCAGCCATTGTTTTGGAAATAAATGGTGCAATATTAAAATTAGTATAAATAAAATATTTTTTATTTTAGTTCACATATAACACCTTACGGTCTTGAAACATTAGCAAAATTGTGTAAGTTTTTTAAAATGAATATCAAAATTTAAATAATTAATATCGTCAGAAATCTTGACGAAAATGTTGTGATGGCAGATATCTTATCCTGTACTTGGATATTACTGCGTGGGAGATTGAAAAAAGGCGGACGAGATATTTGGGAATACTCGGAATACTTTGATGATAGGTTGACTCATTCGTTTCTAGTAAACTGTGCAAAATCACATGTATGTACTTATAATATGGCATATCTTGTTTATATGTAAAAACACTTTATGCTTGTTATTAAATCTTAAGGGCTTTCAGCGTCGTAGGTAGCATCTTTTTTCATGTTATCATGGTATGGAATCGGTCACGACTTTGATGCTACTGAATGTTATACTATGACCCTACTTCCGGCTCTTAAGCATTCAAGACCGTACATCTTCGTCCATATATAACACATTATCGATCCACCTTACCGGCTTTCCTGGGTCACAAATCAGTAATAATCATATTCTCCGCAAGTAACCGACTATTATTTAATCCCGTATGATTTCTGATCCGCGGTGAGAGACAAAAACCATCAGACCCAGTGTCAGAGGTCAGTTGTCAAGAAAAATATACGCCCTTGTCCGAGGATTGGACAAGCGAACTCTTGCTTACTAGTTCGATGCTCTCCCTTTTGAGTTTAGTGGTCGGCGCACTAGTATTAGTATCAGCCGTGTACAAAACGGTATCAATAAAACACTTTTGCATTTGACTTAACTGGTAGATCTCGTTCGTTATGGATACTAAGCTATAAGTAGTGAACCAGATAAGTAGAAAGAGTTTTGTTTTGTTTTATTTTCTTTATAACAGTTTATAAATAATTATTAGAACAACTTCTGTCTGTAACGAATAATATCTTACAGATAAATGCTTCAGTTACAATAAAATGACTAAGTTCTTGTTAAGGAAATATGGTTCGAATTATTGATGCATTGAAAATGTTTCTGTTGTTCGTCCACGCGATTTGATTTAATATGTTTTATGTGTCACGATGTTCTTTTGTTTAAGTTACATGGTATTATGTGATTTATGGAAGTGGAAATATTAATTCGTAAACTTGCTTTCATCAAAAATCAAGGTGCATCTGCTTGTGTAAAAATAACGGATAAATGAAGTACCATGCATGTATAAGCTTATTTTTAATGATTTAATTCACTTATCACTTGTGTATGCTAGAGGGTAAGTATACATGTATGCGTGTACGTGTGATGTACTCATGAAATTGATAGCCTTTGCCATTAATTTTGCATATTATTTCCGTTATATTGCATGTTGTATATGTAACTATATGCCTTTTGATGTTGATTAAGCCGTTATTATGTTACTTTAAATGACATATTGGCTAGAGATTGCTAGATGTAGATAGAAGAACTATTTGTATCCGATGAGATTTGCGTTAGATTTAATTTTGCAGTGTTTTTATTTCTGTAAAAAAAGTAATACACTGCGACACGTTAGACATCATTGAGTTTCCTAGGTTTTTATTATGTTCATTCATAAAACTCAAAAATGAACCGCTTTCAAAGGTTTTACATGAAAATCATCCATTTTGTGAAAAAATAATATGTCGTTAGAATCAAGCAGTGTAACTTTTTATAACATCTAATTTAAATAATAGTTTTCAATGTTTAAACAATTAATTTATTGTGTATAGATTAAAGGTTATTAGTACGTATTTATAGAATTAAATTGGTTAGGCCTGGCTCAACCGCGCGACAAACTTAGTTTTGTAAATACGTACTAATAAATTTTAACCACCATAGTGTTTTAAATAATTTTCATAACCAGTCGATTTACTAGACTGATTAACAGTTTGCCGATCTACCAAAGTAAATGTCTTACGATTCATTTGAAATACTTATCTTATTGGACAAAAAATTATTTCTTATCATTAGTTAGGTCATTGAACTAGAATATTATTATAACATATTTACAAATATTATTTAGTAAGAATGACAATTTATAAATATTTTGATCAAATAAAGATTAGAACTAATTTGCTAAAACTGAAATCTTTTTTCCTAAAACACATGTAAACATACGATACATTTCAAGACCACGTATAATTGTTTACAATTTCGTATACATCTGTACGTACCTTGAAGACATGTTATAGTTGTTTTTCATTAAATATAATTCTATTTGTTAATTTACACACATAAATTTATATGTAAATTGTTAATTGTGTATGTTTATATTGTAAATAGTCATGGTATATTGTGAGTCTATACGTGTTACAAATGTATGTATAAAGAGGTGATCAGATGACAAGATATATAGCTTATTTCGTTAGTTATGATTATCGAATGTAGTATAATATATTTACAAGATCATTTATTTTTTCAAACATAAAAATATTTATAATTAGTGGTTGTGCTTAAAGAGTGCATAAATATATGATTGTACAATTGTAATTTCATACTATTTTAAGATTGTAAGATAGATGCAGTGCTTACAAGTAAAGAAGGGACCCTACTTAGTTATTTTGACATAAAGAGAGTAAAATTTATTTTCAATATTTCTGATTTATTTGTTGTACATTGGAACCAATAAGTTGTGAGCAAAATTTCAGATCGTTTGTTTTTACCATAGTCCATTTCAAGTGTCAAATGTTCAAAAGTGAAAAGCGTTTAAACTTAAATAGGCCTACACACAAAGAGAAGTCGATACAATTTAAACCTAAGTATGTTTTCCTTTTTATCTGTCGCATATTTAAACAAAAAAAGTACACCTTTTAATTTTTGCAACAAACACAATCAAATGTTATACGTTTAGTCTCTTGGACCCAAGTGGAACTTCTTTAGGTGAACAAATGTATATTGTTTTTTTTTTCTGAATTAGGAAAGCAATAAGCGGGTATGTTTTAATTACTATTAATTATTATTACATGTTACAGTTATAAGTATTTGTTATTCAATATTGTTATTGTAAATCTGTTTTAGTTAATTATAGTGTGATTCAAATCATTTATAGATGTTTTTATAATTATACTTCAGTATAAATGTGTACACAAATACAAAAAATGTTTTCTCCACAATTCTTGAATTCTCTACTTACAATCTTATTTCAGAAGAAAGTGTGATTCCTTGCAAAGTAATTAACCTTTAAACAGTACTTCATTAATGACTAATTGAAATAAACGATACATGAAGAGAGTGGTTGTAGTTTAGGGAAAAAGTGTTTTGTTGTTGTTGTTGTTGTTGTTATTATTATTCGTAGTCCTTAATCGTTGGTAAGATTGTTATTAACTCATATACATTGATATAGATTTATAAACAAGCCACATTTTTGAAATAAGCATAACATATCTTAGTATGTGGTATTTGTTTTAACAATGTTTTGTTTCATTACTAGCTTGTTTCATTCATTAATTATAAGGTGATATGACAACTCTTTATGTTGTATTTAATTAAAGGATATTATAGGTAAACGAAAGAGAGTGTAACGTTTTTGTAGATATTGATATATTCTTTACAAAATAATGTATCAATTTCAAAAAAGTAATATTGTACAGATTGAAACTGTTGAGCAAAATAATTGCACTAGTTGTAAATAATTCACTTATAACATATAGAGTATTGATAACATGAAACGAAACATTGATATCTATATATTCGATACATATGTGTAAATCAAAAAGTATTTAAATAGGAATATTCTGTAATCATAACGAGAAAGTTAGGTTAGGGACAAAACTTTAATCAAAATAGCTGTTTTAGAAAATAAGTGTCTCACTTTTTCCTTCTCGGTTTTGTGTATGTAACCTTATCATTTTTGTTGTTTTTAGATATATGTTATAATAGTATGCTCAATGTCTTTTTTAATGTAACGAATAATTTTTAGAAGTATTAAAAGATAATTGACAATATTTAGGACTCACCTTTTTGGGGGTATTAAGTTGCAATACTCGTTCCATTAAAGGCATATTATGCAGCAAAAAATAATAAATATTTCCATTTTTAGAAAGGGTAAAACCTTGAATATAATGGTTTAAGAAGTTTCAGTGGCTTACCACACGGACAAGCAAGATTGAAAATGTAAACAAAGAAATATTTTGACTTCCATACAAAATACTAAATCACTATATCTACTAATTTCCAAAAGGCAACAGAAGCAAAATATGGGTATGCCAATTGTCCAATGAATACCATTTTGAAAATTATAACAGAACAGGAAAATAAAAAAGTTTTTAAGGACATTATATAAAAACATTTCTGAAGCATAATGGGCCTCTAAGATAACTATAGCTTTATTAAATACTATTAAATAAGATATTGAGAAATATAGATGAAATAGAATGCGTTTTTCTTTTAGATTTTCCTTATTTTCACTGAAAAAAAAAAAATATTTTTCACTACAGTGAAACATATTTTCCGTATTTCAACTGGTGTCTTACTTGACTACTTTCTTCTTAATCCAGCCAAAACACAAAATTAAACGTGAAAAAGAAAAGAGGTATAATTAACATCTTTTTCTATAAAAACCGGATTTTTTTCATCTTGCGATATGAACATTTTCATATTTCTCTCATGGCTACTACCAGTTGTGAATTATTTTTCATACCAATCGATGAATGTAAGTCCTGTTTTTATAAAACAAAATGAAAAACCATTTTATATTGTCATTCACATGCAAGCTTTGAAAAATATTGTATTTATCGTTTGTAAGTTAATCGCTTTTAATGTTGGACAATTTTTGTAACTGTTTCTTTTTTAAAAATATAATATAAATTTTGACTTTCTTAAGGCCTCACTTGTGGCATTATGAAGATGTTGTGAAGTAAATGATTGTTGTGTGGTCCACTGTGTTTTAAGCTAATTATGTTTTAGTTTTTAAAGACAAAGTTTTCAGTCTCTATGATGCGTCCCTTCGCCTTCGTATGTTGCTCGTCGTTATCCACAATTTCTGTTAAACACCATCTCCTTTAT